TTATGAAGATGTTCATCTAATGGGGCATAAAGCTACCTTCTTTTGCATCACTATCTTTACTAAAGAAGTTAATGAAGAATAAAAACAATTGACTTTTAAATTCTTGTACAATATTTTGATTCATAAAAACTTCCCATAATTCTGAAAATAGTGTTAACGGTAATTCAATATCAATAAGAGACATTCCTAAAAGAACATTTAATGCACCACTGACTATTGCTTTTCTTCTAGTGGTACATTCCATTTGAATATTATCAGTAATTACTTTCATAAATATTTCGTTTATTCCTTTCTCATTGAATATTCTACTTTGTGAGTGTTCAATTAATAAAGCAAATACAGCCTCACAAAATACTATTGATTTTTCTTCCTTATATAAACCATTAATAAATTCTTTGGTCTTATTAATTAACTCATTAAATAAGGGATTATCTTCAGTTACTTCAATAATTTTAGAAAATAAAAGTGCCATTTGAGAAATTTCTATGTCACTTTTATTAATAAATAAATCAAATAATTCATTTAAAACTAAGACATTCTTTTCAACTAAATCACAAAACAATTCAAAATGTCCAATAGTTTTATCTTCTACTCTTCTTAGTGTTGAAATAACTAATGAAAATGTCTCATCATTTAATTCTTCTTCAATCATACTTTTAAATATAGGAATAATAACTTCAACAATGGAAATATGTCCACTACCAATAATCATTAAATAACGTTCAAATATTTCCAACTTCTTTCCATGTTTACATAAAAAATCAAATATTGGTAATGCTGTAATTAATATTTGCTTTTGAATAGACTCGTTTAATATGCTTAAACAAGGAATAAATAATTCAACAATTTCGTTTTGTGTTTTAAAAGGATCTTCTTGTTGTTTTTCTGATAAATTATATTTATTTAAATCTTCTTTTACCCATTCACTTGTTAATTCTTTTAATAATCTTGTAGCAGAATTAAAAAATGTCATTCTTTGATCAAATGAGTTTAATGACTGTACTAATAAAGAACAAATACTATAATCTATATATTCAGTATTAAGAAAATGTTCAGCTACTGATATAAATGATTTTATTAATTGAATAGAACAAGTTTTACAATCCAATTCTTGAATTCTTTCATAAATACTTTTTGCTATTTCTGTTCTTTGTTCTTCAATTAAATAAGTATTATCATTTGAAAAAATATAACTAACAGATGTAAGCATGGAATTAAGAAGTTTTAAATCATATAATCTAATCATTTCATATATGTTATTAAATCCATCTATTTTATTTATTTCTATAATAAATTCAACAACTAATGGTGTTTGATCAACGTATTTTGTTGTTTCAATATTATATACACTTCTAGTTTTCTTAAATTCTTCACAACTGAAAATATCTCCAAATAACTTCCATCCTTCTTCATCAACAAGTTCAATTCTAGAAAAGAATAGGTTTAAATAAAATGTCATGAACTTTAATATTAATTCCGTATACATTGTCTCTTTTTTAATTTTATTGAAGAATACTTTAATGTTCTTATTAAAAAACTCTTTACAGAATTGGTCTGATAACCTTTTCATGTTTGTTGTAGTGAACTCTAATAAAAATTTTTCATACTCTGACCTTATATAACAAAAATAATTTTCTTCACTAATTTCTTTAACAATATGATTCATCTTTTCAATGTCTGTATCTTTTTCTTTAGTACTAGATAACATAATATTGATATCACCTGTTATTCCATTTGAACTAAGTTTTGATTCATATTCATTAAAACCATACTGAATGTCCTGATTCTTTTTATTTTCATTTTCCACATCAAATACTTTAAAGTCCTTTTCTTCTGTCATCAACTACTGGATTTTTTCTTTTGATAGATACACTTTTTTATTTTTCTTCTTTCTAAGAATTTTATTCTTTTATAGTTTTATTATAGTTTATTATTACATTTGCTTTGTTGATTTTAAGATGAGATTTATTGAGGTTTAAAATTTTGATGATGAAAACTTTTGTGATTAAAAAAAGACATGTGATAAAAATCTTACAAATCTGATAAATAATACAATTGTTTGACCATCTCATCAAACTGGGCTGCTATCACATCAATTTGTTGAGTAATAAAAGAGCCACACCAAACAAAATATACATTGTCACACCTTACTATTATAAAAGATCGAAGTTCTTTTCGTTCTTCTTCCACAAGATAAGAAGAAAAGTCAATAGCAGAAACTATAGTGGCAAGGATTGAAGGAATCCAGTATTCATATTCGTCAATAAAACTTTCTGGATATATAAGACTTATTGGATGAGATGGATTTCCATACGAATTGTCAATAAAACATTTAACTGTATTATTTATATTTATAAGAGAAGAGATAGAATGAAGAATAATAAAATTTCCTTTCCATCTTAAACGAAATAATTCAAAAAGTTCAAGCGATTTAAATAACTGTAAAGTAGGAGGTCCTAACAAAATATCTCCTCTTCTGATACACTTATCAAGACATTTATTAATGAAGTTATTCCATTCAAAGGAATGGAATGTATTTAACATTTGTTTAACTCTAACTGAATCACCACTAAAAATTTCTGTAATAGTTGAAATAATATTCATTCTTGTAATATCAACATCTTTCATTATTGAATGAAGTAAATTAATATCAAAAGTACTTACTGCTTTAGTGACAGTAATAGCACTTCTGATAATAATTAATTCAGATAATACTTGTTTAATATGAAACTGAAGAATTTCAGTATTTAACTCTTGTAATCGAATGATTTCTTGATCAATTTTATCAATAAAAGTAATTGGTATTCCACCTTTTTTCAATTCAGAAACAACTTTATAAATAATTTCTAGTTCATTAATTCTAATTAACAATGTCGTAGAAATAATTTGTTGTGTTGAAAAACTTGTTTCTGGTAAAAGTATTAATAATTTATATGCCTCTTTAAAGTGTTGAAGTATTTGAGGACATACTGATATTTTAAACTTATTAAGTCCAATTAGTCCAGTATTTATCAATTTTAAACATTTGATAAGACCCTTATCTTCTGTATTCCCCCTCATTATTTTTTTGATTTTTAAATCACTTTCATCTAATGAAAGAGTACACTGATCAAATATAATTCCTTCTACGTCCATCAATTCTTATTGATATATAAAATTCATATTTTTAAGTTCATTAAAAATTTTATAAAAATAAAATAGAAAAGAAAAACAATGAGAAAGGAAAGTTATTATTTTTATTTTAAGAGTGTTGAGATTAACTCATCAATATCTAATAATTTTAAATCAGTATAATGCTGTCCAGATCCTACAAATAATATTGGTATTCCAGTACAATACGTCAATGATATTGCTGCTCCAACTTTATCATCTATAGTATCAAATTTAGTCAAAATAATACCATTTACTCCTTTTGATTGTTTGTTTGGTGCATAATCAATAATATATCTATTGAATGTTGTCAACTGATTAACTGCATCATTTCCTACTAATGCCTCAGCAACAAACAGTACTAAATCAGTTTGTGCTGAATGAACTAATTTAGCTATAGCTTTCATCAATGCATCATTTCCTTGCATTCTTCCTGCTGTATCAACTAATAATACATCATACCCATCTTCTTTTGCTCGTTTTAATGCGTTTCTAGCAATAGCAGATGGATCAGTATCATAACCCTTTTCATATAATGTAATTCCTAATTTTTGAGCATGGACAGCTAATTGATCAACAGCACCAGCTCTGAATGTATCACATGCAGCAATCATTACTTTATAATTTAATGATGTTAACCAACATGCCATTTTTGATAATGAAGTTGATTTACCAACACCATTAACTCCTAAGAACACCATTGTATAAACGTCTCCATTTGCTTTCTTTTCAGATATCTCTTTAGCAACATCAATAGGACTTGTTGGTGTCATAATTCGAGTAAGTACTTCAGTAACACCTTGAATAACAGTTCCACGTAATGTAAAAGTATCAACCTTCTTTCCATTTAATAAAGTTTGAATATTACTTTTAATTTGTGCTGCAATTTCAGAGTTAACATTCTTTTCAATTAACATTTTCTCTATTTTTTCTGCTTGTTCTAATGACTCCGCTTCATCAATAATTCTAGTACCATTAAATCCAGCAAAAATTTTGGATAATGTAGATCCATTTGATTTTGGTTTTTCTTGTTTCTTCATTCCATCGAATTTATAAGTTTTATTCTCTCCCTCTCCAACTATAATTGTCTCTTCTTTCTTTTTACTTTCTCCTTTAGCTTTCTTTAATTTCATTGCTTTTTCAGCTCCTTTTTCAGTTTCTTCAAACTTTCTCATCTTTTTATTAGCCTTTTCTTGTTTAGTGCGTTCTTGACATTCTTTTAATGTTTCTTCTACGGTAGTATTCATAATGCTTTTAACAATTGTCTTATTTGGTAAATACTGTTCTTTAAATTTTTTCATCATTTCTTTAATGAACAAATCTATATAATCAACTTTAATTGTTTTTACATGAACAACCATTATTATAGTTGAAGTTTCATTATCTGATAACCACCGTATCATATAATTTTCAACAATTGCTTTGCTTTCTCCAGTTCTATCAGCCAACAGATGGTCTTTGATAACTGTGTTAATAGGCTCACCTCTTAATTTTCCTTGTCCCCATTTAAATAATACAATCCCACCTGTTGTAATTATATCAATCTCTTCCATTTATTTTTATTATATATTTTAAGTTCTTTACTTTGAAAAGGAATGAATCTTTTTATTAATTTTTTTTCTTTAAGAATAGTTTGCGGTGATGAATTTTATTCTTTTTCTCAGT